TTCACCCTATATTTTTGCTTGAGCCACCAAAATGCAAAAACTTAAATCATTCTCTGCCAATACTAGATATAATGACCACAACCAACAGTTTGTCTTTAATTTCAAAAATCAGAAATATCTTAATAGTTTAACACAATATTAAAACCAAAATATTCTAATTATTAAGTGCATTACAATATATTTCCTTGCTCTGAATATTTAATTTTTTGAACTTTGAAATTTTCATTAAACACTAGATAGGAGTGCTGTAGAGATTCCAGAGATTATAGCAATGTTTACTCTTCCAGAGAACACAGAAAAATATAAAAGAATGCATTGTGAAAAAAGGTTGGTTGGGAAGCAGAATTTCATTTTTCCCAGGATTCCCTATCCAGTTCAGAGTTTATATATACACAAAGTAGGTAAACATGAAGGACAAATCAAAAAATCAACAAGAGCATTCTTACCAACAAACACCAGATTGCTATAATTTTCTAACATCACATCAATGTACAATGTACGCTGAGCATGGTCTAGACACTCCCATTCCTCCCTTGACAGGTCCACGGCTACATGTCTGAATGTTAACCGACCCTGTAATAGAAAATCATGAATTTACCATTTAAGGCGAACGAAATGCTTACCTTACTTAATAGAGAAATAAAGAATATGATACTATTGTAATATTGATTAGACATGACTAAAAGTTTTTCAGGATTTCTATAGAAATAGGTTAGAAGTCAAATAGTATTGCTCTTCCATAGATAATGGATAGGATAACATACTGCATTGCTTATATTCATATGGTCTCTCTTTTTCATTAATTTTCATGTATTTTCTAAGACCTGAACAGCAGATAGAGGAATTGCCACAATAATTACATTTGAAATTGTGGTCTCCAGTTTAGATTCAGTAATGTCTAAGTCCTTTAAAATACAGTTTGATTTCCAGCAGCCTCATGGCACTACACAACAAATTTTGACACTAGTTCTATGATAGCCAATGTGCTCTTCTGAACCTCACAGGCAGGAGGCATATAACACACACACACACACACACACACACACACACACACACACACTCTGACATATAAAAAACTAACTAAATTTTAATTTTAACAAAAAATACTTTCTAAAATAGTCATAGACTTTATTGTATTTTTCTTTTTGTCTATGAAAAGAGGATGAAATAGTAGTCTCATAATCAGAAAAGTTTTGGAGAATATAACATACACATTTGAGGTCCAGATTCAGTAGTGTAGCTTGATGAAGTATACATTAATATTACACAGGATCCCAGTGTCATGTCTCAGGTAGTAAAGTTATGATGAGCAAAACCATGCTTGAAAATTCTACAGACTACAACAGTCGAACTTGTTCAAATATGAATACTAGATCACTTCTGTCTGCAGCTGTGTCTCACCTACTCTATTCTAAATTGCTCAGGTTCTGATCAAGAGACATAGGTACTTTGCTAGACCCTTTCTAGAACAAAGAGGTGGAATATGGAATGCAGAATTTGTACATAAATTAAAAGATATTTTTTCTTTAAAGTGTAAGAAGTATAACCTCACTGCATATATCCAATATGCCTAATAATAGAATCAAATACATGGTGGAGTAATTTTATGAGAATATTTTGACAATCATGAAATAAATTTAAAAAACAAAATTAGAGAGCATCAACAATATTTAAATTTTTGTGAAAGTCAACACAAGCAATACTGATTGATAATAACAATTTCATGAAATCTATTTGATGTTTCACTACAAAATAATTAGAAATATGTGTGTAAATAAATGGTATATGTGACAATGCATTCAGATAAATTACAAACATTGCTGTCAAAGCAAATTTCATTATTGTTCTTGCAATGACTCAATTGAAAATTTGAAACTTCTAATATCAACTTTATTTCTTCAATATTTGAGCTTAGTTATGTAACAGGATTTTAGGCTGCATAGGTATCATTTATGATTATTCCTTCATTTTTCAAAAGTGAGAATTTAATAGTACTGTCTTACACAAGTGTGTGCCAGAAATGTAAACCTGGTTGCTGAAGAAATGGCTCTGAGGTAAAAGGAACTTGCTATTCCTGTAGAGAAACCTAATTTAATTCTCTCTATACATACAGCAGCTCACTACAATGCCTGACTTCAGTGACAAGGGTTTGCTGCCATCCTCCAGTATCAAGGGGGCATGTATCATGCACTGAACATAAAAATATGCAAATGAACACTCATGTACCTTAATAAAATATTATTGTGAAGAAAGAAATAGAAACATCACCACCACGCGGTGGTGCGCCCCTTTAGTCCCAGCACTCTGAAGGCAGAGGCAGGCAGATCTCTCAGAGTTTGAGACCAGCCTGGTCTCCAGGAGCTAGTTCCAGGTCAGGCTCCAAAGCCACAGAGAAACCATGTCTCGAAAAACCAAAGGGGGGAGGGTAAGAAAGAAAGAAACATCACCATACTTTTCGGAAATTTTCCCTATGCAATACAAAGCTTCAGGGAGAAGAGAAATACAGGAGAGGGAGCCTCATTCTCCACCAGAAAAGAGAGAAAATTCATTAAGGATATTTGTTTATGCTTGAAAATTGATGGCCTACACACAGCATCAAGTCAATACTCTCTAGGAAATTCTTACGTTCTACATAATGTAGTACAAATGTGAAGAGAGCACTGCCTATGCAATACTGAAAAAGAAAACAATAGAAAAAGGGAAAATAACCATCTACCGAGAACTTACCACTGAGCATTGTATAGAACTTTTCCTGAGACAAACAGATTGCAGGTGTCAACACACCCATCGTTAATGTTTGACATAAAATGGCAAAAGAGAAAGGAGAACAATGCAAAATGCTCATCTGCTCACAGACACATCAATGTTATGGCAAAAGCAAGCCAAACATGCTGAAATATTTATTCTTAAGTTTCAACAGTGAGTCTCTTCTAATACTGCTTTCCTATGAATTGCTCAGTGATATCAGTGAAAAGGTCCATCCATTTGCTGTGTCCACATTCATTAGCCTGTTTCTGAAAACCTGACCATTCCAGAAATGCAATTGATGTGGCATATGACATCTTCCTTCCTCAGTAAAATAAGAAAATACAAGTAAATCCTATGAAAAAAATAGCCACCGATATATTTCTTGCAGCACCCTTTGTAATAGATTCTCTTTCACAACTCCAAGTCTTAAGTCAATGAAAATTCATCAATGAAAAACATTTGATATGTTACTACATATCAAAAACTTTAGAAGTCCTTGCTTCTAAAATTTTTGTTGAGGGTTGAAAAAAAAGGAACTACAAAAAAGCAAAGGAACTAAAATCTGAGGGAAAGAAGAATGGACACTAACACACAATTGCACATCTGTGTGTTTCTTTATTCTTCTCTTTCTTTCTCTCTTTTCCTCTCTGTTTTCTGTTTCTGTCCAGTTCTTGGGGGTACAGGTATATACACCCTTGCAACAGTAATTCATTTTGCAATACAATGTGAGACTTGGGTTTCTCAGAGTCAGCAAGGCAGATAACATTTACACAGAGCAGTAAACTATAACTGCTAAGAGAAACTTTCAGCATCAATTGCTTAGGGCTGTAGGTCAAAGAGAGGGTCTAAGTTTCATTTGCAAAAGAAATAAAACCTGGCACCTTCCCATGCTCTGGCCTCAGTGGCAGCACATGTCTTCAGGAAAATTTAATTTTCCCTGAGGATGAACAAGTTGGCTGATTACCTTTGTCATTATCTTCTAAGAGGAAACAGATGGGAACAGTAAATCTCTGAGCTAAAGCCAGCCCAGATTCTACCCATTAGGAGCACTGAAAACAGACACTTGGAACAGAAGTTGGCTTCCTTTCTAGGTGTTTATTCTTGTGAAAGGAATCAGCTATCATCAAATTCCTCTTTCATTTTCCACCTAAGAACACTGACTCAGAATCACCTGGAAGTGCCCAGTGGAAGAGTTCTGGATTTGATTTTACTCCTGGATAAACGACAGCTGTAAAGTTTTAAGAAAAAGTTCCACAGTTCAGCTAGGAAAAATGAGGTGGATTCTTTATCTATGAAGCAGTTAATGACTTTGATCCTCAAATCACTGTTGATGTTTTCTGGGAAGACAAGGAATGGCTTTGTGAATGACTACATAATGTAAGGTGCTAGTCATTCTTTATAGTAACTATTGCCTAAAATAACACTCCTTAGATCCTTAGACACCATGGATGATTTCTTTTTTTTTCTTTTTTCTTTTCTTTTCTTTTTTTTAGTTTTTTGAGAGAGTTTTTCTGTGTAGTTTTGGAGCCTATCCTGGCACTCACTCTGTAGACCAGGCTGGCCTCGAACTCACAGAGATCCACCTGCCTCTGCCTCCCAAGTGCTGGGATTAAAGGCGTGCGCCACCAATGCCTGGCTGATTTCTTTTTCTTAAGAGGGGGGAAAGGAAAAGAAAGCCTGAAACATCAACAATAATCAGAAGTTCACAGCAAATGAAACACCTCTGTGTTCTTTAAATACATAATTCTGAGAGGCAGCTATATTCCCACAATATCACCAATGCAGATTTTTGCTTCAATTAAATTAAATGAAATTTACTTGAGAGATGTTGAAGAACCAGATGATGATGATCAATTGATAACTGACCTAATTTTTAAAAAGTTACATTTCATTTATTTTTGCATTTGTATATGCGTATGGGCAAATGTGCCACAACACCTTACTTAATAAGCCAGCTCTGACCTTAATTAAAAAAAAATTAAAAAGATGTAAAAAAAATCTTGAATTAATAAAATAAGAAGTTTGAGACTGTTTTAGTGTAGGGTTAGTTTATGTTATCACTTCTCCTAGGTAAACCTAGGGTATGACTATTGTTTTTAATCCATCTAGGCAGTTATGAACCAACAATCTTGGGCATGTAGTAATCCTACGTCCTTGGATATGTCCCATATCTTAGATGGGATGCTTTTGCCTGGGCCTGAAACACTGACCAAATGCCAGTCAATAAGGATAATTACAGGAAGGCAGATCTCTGCAATTACAATAGAGAGGGGAAAAAGAACCTGATAGTGGGAAACAGGTCTCACATAGCTAAGGGATGTAATCAGTAAACTAGGACCTGTTAATGGAGAACAGGTTTTACACATAGCTAGGGAGTGTAATCAGTAAACTCCAAATGCATGAGGGAATTTATCCCCAGTGAATGATCAGATAGTGCTAAAATATGGGAAGTTAATCCCAAGTTTGTTGTAGAAAGGAATAAGTTACAGGAGAATCTACGGCAAGAAACAGTTAATTCAGTCACAAGATTATAATGCCAAATACAACTTTTGTATTGGCTTATCCATCAGAAGAATTAAGAATTCTTCTGAATTGCCTTATGATATTATAGCCGTATAATCAGTGTGATTTTGCAGCTTTTTGCAACCACAGTAGAAAACTGAATGAACACATAACGGGTAAAGTGTCTCCTATGTAGGTGAAAGATTTAAAAACTTAAACTGGAGTATCAGAGAAGGAAAAAAGGACAAATAATGGAAAATAAACATTTTCCATAACATTGCCAGAAGTAGAGAATTGATGCCTTGAATGACTTCAATAATAAAAACAGTATTAAAAGAAATCTACAAATGATTCTTACCTGGGGAGCATCTACCATAGAAGAATTCATTCTTCTTATTGCTCTTTCTTATCTGCGTCTCTTTGTCAGGAAAAGACTGGAATCCTTGTTGAAATTTCTCATCAAGGTGTCGAAAATACAAAGCTAGAATTAATAGAACTCTGTTATGGATAATGCCAAGCCATACAAAAAGGCAAGAAAAAAGTGAAATAATACCAGATACCTTGTCAACATCCCTACAGTCAGGAAAGCATGGAAGAATATATTTCAAATGGAAAAAGAAAATGACTATGAACCTTATCATTTCACTCAGAAACGTTAGCTCTTAAAGTGCCTCAAGAAGGAGGGGTACATGAAGAAGCTTATAAGATGACAGAAATCATCCACTCAAGCTGCACTGTGGATCATAATTAGAGGCAAAGCTTACACAGAAAAATCAGAGAGGAATTAGCCATTCACACACAGGATTTTACACAAGGAATAAATAGAAAGCTGGAAATTAGCAGACTATGTGCAACCCACTAAACCAGCAAACCTTTTCTAACCACAAGGATATAAATTATTGCCCCCAATTTTACCCAACAGTATATTATTTTAAAATCCCCAAATGAATAAAAACCCTGTGTTATGAAAATCCCTGCAGAAATGGAAGTATCATGAGACAAATGCCAACAGATTTTGTGGTAAACTTCTAAAGGAAACAGGAAAAAATGGAAGAGAGCTCAACACAGTAAAGGGTCCATGTGTCACATGGAGGACAACAGTACATACAGTCCAAAGAAAAAATAAACAGCATCACCAGGAAAACTATAAGCAGAGGAAGACACATGAGCTCTCCAGTCTTTCTGAATCCAGAGGCATTACAGTGAGCCTAACAAATTTGAATAAGAAAGAATTAAGGAGAAACAGGTGGGAAAGGCACAAAATTCCTTTTTAATGATGATATGATCACACACATACAGACACACACACACACACACACACACACACACACACACACACACGCTTGCCAAACACACCACAGGAAAATCTTAAATTTGCTGAGTGCTTTGTGTGAAAAGTACAAAAATAACGCACAAAGTCACTTGTTTATTAATGATTACAATCTGAAAAGTAATTTAGAATGCCTTAAATGGCATTTGTGTTGCTTGCAAAATATCTAGAGATAATGCTAAACAATGATGAATTCACTTCTACCAATAAATTTTCCTGAGATCGCGGGGCCATTCCGGCCCCCACAGAGTGCAGAGAGTGCACAGGTGAGCTGCGTCAGCCCCTGCTTGGGCCCAACTTCCGCCTGCTCACCCTGGCAAATCCCGCCCTGGGATCTGCAGGTAGACTGAATCGTTCCCTGAGGACCCTGGGATTCTGACTCTGCTGAGTTCGCTGGGCTATTCTGGCCCCCACAGAGTGCAAAGAGTGCAGAGGGGAGCTGCTTCAGGACCTGCCTTGGACCCAACTTCCATCTGCCCACCCTGGCAAACCCTGCCCAGGGATCTTCGATAGGACGACTCGACCCCTGGGGACCAAGCAACCCAGAGTCTGCTGATATCTCTGCGCCAGTGCTGCTCTCACCCACCTGGAGAGTGAGTGCCTCAGATCTGCCTGCACCCAACTTGAAACCCATCAGAGGATCCAAGGCAATTGCACACACCTTAAGAGAACACCGGACCCACACACACCAGGAAAGGAAGTGACCCCAATGTGGCTACTGGAACAAGAGATGG